TAATTATCGTCGTGGTACTGGGCGGAAGTTTACCCCGTATATCAGTCTGTCCGAAATCTTGAAGCCTAGGCGTTTTTGCGGTGCTCTCTCAAAGTCAACCCGTCACTTCCGACTATCCGAGGTGTTCTTCCGTGAAGATCGCCTGACACCCGACAGTAATTAGAGGTGGGGGATTGCGTTGCTCGACCTTGCGCGTAGTGATTCTCTTGTTCTGCTCGTCAATTCCACGTTTTGACAATAATTTGCCTAATGTCGGTCCAAATGTCTATGTGTGGTCGAGGCGTTCAGTCTACACACGGGTCAGCGATGTTTGCCCTCTTTGCGCATACCTCAGAATTATTGCGTGTCAGTGCTCGTCCTCTGCTCTCTTCGCATAGATCTACCGGTTATTTCGCTTCGCTGTCGTGTTCTGTTTCGTTGAGATTAGCAGCAGCTTATTGTCTCAGAAAACTTGAACCACGCTCAAGTAGCTTTATTCTTTCCGGCTCGACATGTACTTTTCTACTCTTTCCTTGGGAAGATTTACCTCGTGATTTTCCCGTAATGCGGGGAGCGTGTTGTTTTACTTCAAAGTGTGCGCGACCGTCCGACAGCTGCTAGTGCTACAACGGCTGGCCAAGGGTTGTCGGTGTGACTGTCATGGACTGCGCACTAACGACGTCTTTGTGCTTGTTTTACGGTGCAGGCAAAGAAATGGCGATGATCGCTTGAAACAGCAGTTTTCTCACTGCCTCTCGCCCTCGCATCCTGCGACCCGTGCAAAGACCGAGGGGCAGCATTTCCGCTGCGTCACAACCGTACCGAGGCTCTCAGAAGCCCATTCGCGTCGTCGCCGACTGCGTCCGAGCGAAGGACGTTTTTTGGAAGTGGCTGGCTGTGTGTGAGTGTGTGTATGTGTTCCACGCGCGGGTCGCTGGTCAGTTTTTGACTACCGCTCTCGATTTGCTATCGATTTCACTCAAATCGCCCAATTATCGGTGACGTGCTCCTTCCGGGTGGAAGTGGCGAGTTCTTATTGGATCACTCTGCTCAGCTTTTTGCCATGTCCAGGAATTCGCCGACAGTCAGCTTGTTGATTGCAAGTGTTCAGCGAACGGGTTCCGCCATTGTTGATTCAACTTTAGCAGTTTGATTGCACGTCCACATAAGGTGTTTAACTAGTTCCCCTCCACACCATCATCGCTCTTCGTTTGCCGCTTTTTCTCACCTCAATATCTCATCAGATGTTATATTCGGCCCCTGCTCATTTCACTACTTCCCACAACTCTCTTGTGCCCGAGTGTGTCCAGCGCGCTGGCGCGATCGTGTCTGATCAGTAACTGAGAATCTCCGAAATTTATCTTATTCGCTCATCTCGCAATAATCTTTTTGTTTGTCCCTGCACATGGTCCCCGATCTGTAACAGATCTCACGCAACCATCGCCGACATCGCTACAATAGTTTCTGTACGTCCAATTCATCAGCGATGCCTCATGCGGTCCTCATCAAACACTGCCGACTGCCATATGCATTTGCCTTACATTAGCCTTACTCGGTATCGTCATAAACAAAACTTTGGTGCACATTCATACTTTTCCCCTGACATTTGCATCTACCAACTGTCATGCTCATCGAGAGACGCTCCTAATCAACGCTCAAAATTTCTCGAGTATGCCAGGGCATCGCAATAAGTATCCCCTCATTTTATTTTTGTCAAGCATAGTCTACGGGAATGTCCTAGTTCATGACCAATCGACTCCATCATCTGACTCGATTTGAACCATTAACATTTTCATACCAAAAACCTGTTTATCCAGTGCTGGGCTGCAAATTTCTTAGAAAACATTGCAGTTTCAATCCTTAATATTACTATACATTATTCTTGTTCTACGCCATCCATCTTCAATGCACTACGTAATGATTTTACGTCAACCAATCTTGTCAATTTTTTGATTTTCTTGAGATTTCTCCATGACTGGTTTCGTTCTCATTTGCGTCTCTTATTGACCTGAAACAAGTAGGCCGTTCACCGGCATGGTATCGTAAGTATGTGTTCTCGTATGATGCGGGCGAGTCAAGTCGATTTTTCTTTGACTTTTATTCTTCTGCTAATTCATATCATTAGGATGAGAAATGTATTGTTAATCATTTATACTTCTACCGTGAATGTGACTGTCGTATTTTCCTACGGAAAGAAGGAAAAACTATTTTGATGCAGAGATAGAATCAAATGTGCTAGGTTTCAATTGTTGTTTTTATCCATGAAGATGGTTGACTCCCTCGTTTATACACTCATTTGAGACTTTTTGCCTAATGGCGTTAGATTCGTGAAGTGCTCTAATCTACAAGTTGCTCTCTCCTTACCCCGATAACAAACATCGCGCGACATCCCCTTGGCCTTGTCTTGCGCCCCTTCTACGGCAAGACGCATCGGCGCGGTATCATCGTGGATCAACGAGATTGTCAGCCTTGTTTACACAGGTGTCTCAGTTTTCACTCAGAAAATTGCAATTCTCAATTCTCCTCACCTAACCACTCTCCTAAGTTTTTATGTCGTCCCTCTTGTGTCCGGCAACACATATCCAGAAACACTCGACATTCAAAAGCACGACAGAGCAACCGAGTTCTTTGAGCCCATTCGTAGCGGCAATGTTCAGCGTCGAGGACCGCAGCAACTCTTGACAAAAGATGCGTTTAGAAAAGACCAAAGAAAGATTCTGCACCATTTGGGCAGTTCTTTGGCCTTTGACTGTCGCTCTAGACATTTGATGTGGGACGTTTCTGGCCAATTTCCAGACTATATGACTGTTATCGTGCTCCTTCATCGTTTCCGCTATTTGGTAAATCTAAGTTTGATCAGTATAGTTTTGTAAAATACTGTAAAATCAAGCCATTCGTTGAATTATTGCTTAATTTTGGTCGACACTCCATCCCGAATGTTGCAGCCTATACAGCTCCGATATTGCTCATTCTTCTCTTTACTTATTTACACTGCATTGCCATGGTACAGCCTTTACTTACCAAGCTTTGTTATCGTGTAGTTCCACTGTACTGCGTTGAAACTCGAAATTTTAGCCGTTCAGTAATTTTTTGCTGCTTCTGCATAATTCTCTTGCGCTAGATTAGTGCTCTGTCAGACTTTGAATTTCGCATGGGCTAAGGAAGCCACTAAAAATTCAAGATGTGGCGCATTTGTACAAGAGTTTTACATGGACATGTTACCTCCCCCTCCCCCCCCCCCCCCCTCGCGCTCCCCCTCTCATAATCACACAGAAAGCCGGATGATTGGATGTGAGCGGTTGAGCAGCGGTGAGCCTTTCTAGCATGCATATTTGCAGGCCATCCGATGCTTTGTTAGTATTTGGCTTTGGTGGCGCAAGCGCTCTCACAGCACTCTAGATTACGATCCTGGATATATCTACGGGAGTTGCTTCACACATCTTCGCTAGAATTTCTCCTGTTTGGCTTTCCATACAGATGCTTTTGCCCTGTAACTTGCAGATTTTTTAGATTTTTTTCGCCTTTTCATGAAGTTTTGCCTTAGAATTCTTCTTCATCTAAGCATCCAACTTTGGTTTCTTAGCTAGGCTTCAATTGCTGGTTCCGTTGACTATTCCCATGCGGACTGCCAAATCTGGACACGGTGTGTGATGAAATGAAAAAGACGCACAACAATTTTCGCACAATGTCTACGCACCACTCCTCTCTCCACAACCACAACCACTTTTCGTCTCTTTTTTTCGGGCGGAAAAAGAGCAACGCAAAGGCAAGGGTAGTTTCGGATCCGCAAATGCGCGAGCTCAGTGCTCTGCTTTGCCTGCAGATCTGTTCTCATCCATTAGTCATTCATCATAGTATTCAGTTGGAAGATCTCGAATATCTTCAGCAATCACTTCATAGTGATTCAAAGAGGAGAACAGTGATTACCTTTGCTACCCCGGTGCCAAGACCGAGCAACAGCTGGTAAGCATCGCTAACCCGCCGAATCGCTAATGAACTCCGGACCAAGGTTGTCCAGTGGTTAAACTAGCTTTCTGACTTGTTAGCTACCGCTCCGCGACAGGAACTTCCTCGCAGTAACTGCCTACCTGATCTGCGGAGCATACAAGCCGGTAAATCCCTCTCAGCATCGGTAGCAATCTTTCTGCCTTCGCTTACCGTTGCTAGCTGAAAAGAAGCTCTTCGATTTGAATTAGACACTTGACTCCTTCGTCTTGACTTGAATTTTCGTCAAATAAACGCAACATCTTGTTAAGAGTCAGCTTAGATTGCTAGCAAACGTCTCCAGCAGATTATGCGCGTAACTCTCCATTCCTGTACTAAATATTGTTGGTGCGTTTTCAAGAGCTAGGGCAAGAAACCTGAGTCCCCGCGAACATGTATGTTTGGCTAGAGGGTAGGGGGGGGGGACTAAATGTGAAACACGGACTTTCGCATGAGTGGACCTCCAGATGTATTGTATTCAGTGCCTTCGGTGTCTTTATTTGCGACTGCGTGAAAGTGCGAACTGGACAGTGTGGGGTGACGATGGTGGTGGCAGGTAATTACCGCGCGCGAACAGGGATGTGCTGACCCCTCACGACATCGACACTATTCTCATCCTCCTTTACTATTACTTTTCATACTTTTGAGATTCAAGCCTCATCTGGCGTATTCGTGCGGTTTCTGTCCAACCTACTGCAATATTCAACGTATTCTCACATACTTCCTTCTCTTTCGAAGCTATCATTTCAGTCCTGCTGGACTTCAGAACTATGTCAGCAGCGTTGTCGCTAAGCTTGCGTAGCCGACAGTTGCTGGCCACGCCGCCGCTTAATCAAGATTTATCGTTGTCGCGTTCTTCTATCTAAGCAACGTGCAACTGTTTTTATTCGAGGCTATACTTTTTAATCGCTGGTCGTTCCTCCGAGTTTAATTTTACGGTGTAATGATGCTTTGTGTTTCAATTTTTTTCTTTTTCGTCTCACCAACAACTCGATTTCGCGTCTTATCCATCATTGTCGATAAAAACACGACTCTCTAGATTACGTGTTCAGAAATGGTCTATCTCGTTTCTACAGTACTTCACAATATATGATAGATTTCACATTTCTTCTGTTGTCTCAATATGATTGCAATAATATTTCAAGGAACCATAGAAGAGCAGCTTCCTCACTAAATATGGGGCCAACTATGGCTCTGGTGCTGGTGTCCGTCGCGGGACTTACACGTGAGTCTTAACTCCGATTGTTTTATGTTTGCCGATTCGGAAAGCGTGAGCAGGCCCTCATCGAGAGAGGTGTCCTAAGCGCGCTTTGATTTGTTGAAATGGCCGTCAGAGGCGAGGAGATCGTGCGAAAATGCGCGAAACGAAAAACAACGGCGCTGGTTGGCGGTGGTGGTCACTCGTGTTTGCTGAGGACGTTCTCCTCGGCCATCGCTGAGCGGAATTGATTCGCAAAGCCACAGAAGGCCAAGTCAGAGCCGCTAAATTCGATGTCTTTCAGTTGCTGTCGGAAACGACGAGGTGTTCACAAACACGCCAGGAGCCGGACCATACTACGTGAAAGAACACATGGTGGGACCGACTCTGAAGTGCTCCGTGCGAAACAAGTTTGCCGACCGAGCACGCTATCAAGTGCAGTGGCAGCGCTACAATAAAGGCAACCTCAGGTCCGGTCACTCGCCAGCTCATCGTTTTCATTTCTATGCGAATAGTGCAATTCTATTCTCGTATTCGCCCTCGACTACCTTTTTATGCGGCCCTATTTCTAGGTATATCTCCATCAACGACCAGCTTCTCGACGCAGCCCACTTTGAACTGGTCGGAGACATCTCTAGTGGAGTGTACGACCTTAAACTCAAGGATGTTGCTCAGAGTGCAGTCGAGGGCTCCTACTACTGCACTGTTCTTGATCGTCAAGAAACAGAGCAATACCAGGCCGAACCTGCTGAAGTGATCGCTCTAGGTGCGTCTTGCCACTCTTATCGAGAGCTCTTTGCTAATGCAGTGCAGGGCGTGTGTCCTTGCAGATCGCGATCGCGCTGAAATAACACGAGCACCAATCCTGAGTTGAAGGTGTAATTAGTGGAGTCTTGCGCGACCCAAAATCGCTGTCGCCGCCGGTCGCTATCGCGAAAATTAGAAAGATTCTTTTTTGATTTCAAAAAAAAAAACTTCCGCATTATATCCATGCTGCAAAAAAAACCTTGATCTTTTCACTTTCCGGGAAATCTGCACATCTTTAATGGATCTAACCCAGTTGCAAACTTGTGAAATCGCGTGCTCTTCCTAATCAGCCTTCACATAACAACGGTATCAATGTCTGCAACTAAGGTGACGCAAGCTCCATCCTTGCTAAGTGTTTTACCGATTGAAAGGGTATTGTGAAGGGCTCAATAAGTGCCTATCGCCGCATTAATGAGAGGTTACGTAGCGACCAGGTGGTACCTGCAGCGTGGCCATGCAAACGATCACCCAAGGGGTTAGCGGCTCATAGAAAATTGTCCACCTGTTTGGTAGGAGAGGAAGTAAGTAGCTCCTAAATGTTGGCTAGGTTGAGCAGCTGGAGAACAAGTCAAAAAGGAGTTTGTAGAATTTAAAGTATTGTGCAAGTATTCTTTTTATTTGTTTGTAAGTGGACTTGGTGGGCAATTTAGTGCTTCTGCGGTGTCGACAACACTTGCGCGGAAAATATTTTCATACTTGTGATTTCGACAAAAAGCGTAAAGTGCGCCTTGTCTTGCGCGGAAATAGCCGTAAAGCGCAAATTTTTGGGTTTGTGCTTTAGAGCCATCTTTCATGCTCAAGTGCTACCGTCAGTGCTGGAGCGCACTGATCCAAATTCACTAGAGTGCAAGGCATTCTTGATTGATTTTCAAATGAACAGTTAAGTATGTGAAGAAATTTTTTCTTAACTAACTATAAAAGCTTCAAGATTATGATTAAAGTCGCAACATTCTTCCTGCATTCTTGGTTCAGTGTATTGAAAAAGTTTTCGTTACAAGAAAAAACTAGTCGTGCTTCTCTTCCCTCCTCTCAAAAAATAACTGTGCGGTTCCTCTTACAGAAGTATAAAAGTGCTGACCATTTGGAAACTATTTTCAGTTCCTCCTAGCGATCCGATCATCACGGAGTCACCCTCACAGGCTGTCACTGATGGAGACAGTGTGTCGTTCAGATGCACTTCTACAGGCGGTAGTCCTCCTCCTACGATGAGGTGAGTAACTAAAAGATATCCTACGTTGTAGAGAAAAAGTCGAGCGTTTAGTTGGATATTCTTGAATGGTAGTGCTGCTGATGCGAAGCATGTGAGTACTCTTTCCCGTGGAGCTGAATCTGAAAGCACTTTACAGTAAGCTAATGCGGATAATCCAACTTCAGATGAGAATGAAGATTTTTTCAGCTTCCGTGTCCGATCGGAAGACAATAGCGCGTATGTTGTCTGTGCTGTCACCAACAAGGCAATTGAGTTCGAACAACCTAAAGAAGCCCGATCACCTCGGCTGAATGTATGTCAAGAATGAAATCATGCTCAGTCATGGAAGTGCCCTCAAATCAAAAATTTAGGTTCTTTTCAAACCTCGTGTGAAAGTCTCTCCCGATCAGGAAGTTGCCATAGAAGATGGAAAGCAAATTGACCTAGTCTGCGATGCCGATTCAAACCCCTATCCACCCAGCTATGAGTGGTATGTTCTTTGAAATCAGTAAAGGATGTTGATATGTACTTTCTATTCAGGAAGCATCTGCCTTCCGGGGAAGTCTACGCAGCTTCAAAGTGGTCTATAACCGCAAGTCGCAACATGAGCAATGATTTTGAATGTCGAGCCAGTAACAGTGTAGGAGAAGGAAGCGCTATTCTCACGCTCAATGTACAGTATGCTCCTGTAGTCACAACGAAGGTACTTTCTAGTCATATAATTGCTCGAAGGCTTGAATCATTGTATATCATTCAGCCACGGCTCAACCCTAAGGAAGGCGAACGAGTTCAGGTCGAATGTGTAGTGGATTCAAACCCACAAACCTCCGAAATAAAATGGACAGGACCTCAAGGGCTCGTTTCCGAGGGTCCCATTTTGGTGCTGAAGAGCGTGTCCAGGTGTGTTCGCCTCTTCGTGCCAAGTCAAGCGTTGCTCATTAATTCCTCTCCAAACGGGCCATCGCGAATCGGTCTATATGCTCAAGGAAGTGGGGGAAGGGATTGTATAACTGAGCCGGTTCGAATAGCTATTACGTGAAATACCCGATAGCTGAGGGAGATTTTCGACTGCGCTCAGTAAGAGACTTGAAAGCTAACACTACATAATAAAATTACCAATTTTGTTTGCTCATGGCACTATCTTGTGAATTATAGGGAGCAGACAGGAAACTACACTTGTACGGCGACAAATTACCTAAACATCTACGGAGAAACGGGCTCGCAAACGCGAACCGGATCTGCAGTGACCATGATTGACGTGTGTTTCGTGTACTACTTGAGACAGTAGTGAAAATAGAATACATAATTCTCCGGTTAATTTCAGATACAACGACCACCAGGACAAGCCGAGATTACACCACAAAAGCTGAATGTAGAAGTTGGTGGGACTATTAGTCTCACTTGCTCCACACATGATCCTGGTAGTCCACCCGGGAGTTTCAAGGTAATTTCGCAAATTAATCGAGTAATATAGCGCGTTAGGAAGCACGAACCGAAAAACCTTGTGTTGCCTATCATGATTTCGCTAGCACTTATTTCAGACCAACACCAGTTTCCGCATCTTTGATTTTACGCTATTTTTCCTGAGCTCTCATTTTCGATGAAAATCTTTTGTGTGAAAAGAGTTTGTTTCTTTTTGCTAATGTACACTTTCGTAACTCGATACGAGTCCTCGACGCACTGATTGAAAAGAATTATAAATAACCCGGGCTACGGGGCCTGTTCAAATACCAAAAAAATAGAAATGATTCGGTGAAATTTTACGCTTGTCTCATGGTAATGAGTGTAAATAAAAAGTGCAAAAGAGTGTGGTAAAACATTGTAGATATGCAATAAAATTCGTATACATATCAAACGACTATTTCCTCAACAAGATGTATGACGTAGTGCTATCGATAGAGGGAAAGGGAAGTTTTTTGAAAGTGCTCTGAGCAGAGAATAGGTAAAGGCAAAAGTTATTGAAAGCGGTAGCAATATTTTCGTGTATCTTGCGATATTTTTTATCTCGAACGTTAGCAGGAGAAAGAGCAAGTAGGCTGCTAATCTATGCATAAAAAAGAGTCGTTCAATTTGCTTGTGTCTTACGAATTCTCTGTTTGTCCAAAATCCCGCACAGGTGACCGGGGGGGGGGAGAGGGGAGAGACAAAAATTTTTTTGGATGAAGGTGCGTTAGTTCGAAAGTTTTTTGGGATGCTTCCCAAAATTTTTGTGGGCCTATAACCCCGAATTTGGAAAAGGGGCGTAGCTACGGCTAGGCTCCAGATTTTTTTTACAAGGCTAATTTAGATTTTTGAAATTTTCCATTATTTTAATGCAAGGTAAAAACAAATCACTTGCACATTTTTATATTACATGTAAGCAATTCTTAAAAATTTCGCGGCCCATTCTCAGGGGTGGGGCACTCCCTCTCCCCCCCCCCCTCCGGTACGCCTCTGGTGACCAGATGCAGATAGTTGAGCATTTGTAAAATTGCGTCAATCAGCGCAAATGATTTTTGCAAATCCGCAAGTTTAGAGCAATATTAGTAATAGTAATAAATAAATGACCTAGGGTTCTGTGGAGACTCACGCGATCATTAGCCGCACTCCTACAGTTTGCAATTTCAGTTCTTCACAACTTGCGAATGAAAAAAAAATGGTTTGGTTAACGGCTTTGATATCCAAAAGAGTTTACATTGAGTGCAGAAACGCATCTCCTACATCATAGTTTACTTTTTCGAAAAAACTTCGTACATGGGACTATTGTGAATGAAGAGTACTTATCGGAAGTGATGAGCGAGCTTCCATGCCATCCCGATTTTTCGCACAAATTTCGCTGTAGTGTATTTAAGCAAGGAGACAAATTATTCTAATGTGAATGGTGACCAACTAGAAAAAAAAATCAATTCTGCATGTTGTTATGACAGTTTTTTAGTGGGCGTCGCCGTCGTCCGGTGGCCTTTTCGGAATCCGTGACCACGATCACACGCAGCTGACTGTCCGAAACGCGCAGCTCGCCGACAACGGTCGTTATCGTTGCCGGGCGGACAACACGCATGGAAAAGGCAAAGAAGCCGTGGTGGATGTGACTGTGAGCGTTCCACATCCATTGTTGTTCCTCTTCCTCCTGCGGAGATGACATGTTTTAACTTTGAGGTCATCGAACCGGCGTGGATTTCTCGTCATTTGACAAAGGAGCGACTGCTCAAAATGGAACAGCCCGGAAGTGTTCTTGAATGCGAAGGAAAGGGGTATCCAGCACCGAGCTTCCGCTGGTACAAAGATGGGCATCGGATTGATAGGAAACGCTACAAGATTGATACCGTAATTGTCAAATCTAGGTGAGGCTTCAATCACCGTAGTTCGTAGATCTACAGTACCCGACACATTCTTGCAGCTGTGGTGCACACTGTTCGCAAACAGCCACAAGTACGCTATTATTTGCGAAACCACTGAAATGGGCAGACAAGGGGAACTACTCGTGCCGCGCTCTAAATAGTCCGGACCATAAGAGTGCAGACGACACTTCGTGGACTATTGTACGAATCAATCATGGACCAGTCATACTGAATCAACGCTTTCCGGATGAAGGAATTGCAGCGGCTGATGTTGGCACCATGGTCAGTGGATTGCCGCTGGAAAAATAGAGACATAAAGGCGAAAATTGTGTGTTCAGGCACAAATACGCTGCATAGTGTCAGCTCGCCCTGAACCGAAAACGTTCAATTGGATGTTTGATTCTGTTCCTATTGAGGAAAACGGAAGGTAGTTCTTGAATAACATAAACTTCACGAAAGCTCTGAGTTTCTACGGAGATTGACGTCAAACTCATAAGATAAATTGGTTGTTTTTTTAGATATTCCTTCCAAGTGATTCCACATTACGATCGCGATGAACATGAATACATCCTACAAATCTCCGACGTAGTCGAGAACGATTATGGTTCGTATATGTGCCGGGTATCAAATGGCATCGGCAAAGCCGAGATCATCATCAGGCTTAGGCAAACTGGTAAGCTCAAACATTCAACGATTATGGAGTAACTTGCATTTGCTTAATTAAGGACCTCCACAAGTACCAACAGCTCTCCAAAAAATTGCATCTACCCCGAAAACGCTCTTTATTGGTTGGGTTCCCGCATTCGATGGCGGTTTTGACCAAACGTTCATCGTTGAATACAGGTAATTTTCCGAACTCACCATAGTCATCAATTCGTAAAGACCAATTTTTTGCTCAAGGAAGAACCATAGTCATCAATTCGTAAAGACCAATTTTTGACTATTTGGAACACTTTCCTTCTATACTTTTCAAATAGGCTACTAAAGCAGCGCATGATCATCTTTCACTCACACTTTAGTCTTGTAAAAGCTAAGCTGTCATCTAGTACCTGGCTGGATGTGCCCGAAAAAAAGAATAAAAAATCCACTTATCTTTAACCTAGCTCAGGCGTAAGCGTAAAAGAAACAACTCAAAATTTTTTTCAAGGAGCGTGAACCCTTTCAACGAAGGTTTTGCAAAGGATGGTGTGTCGACCGTAGAAGTCAAGAACACGTCTAGAATCGAACAGATCAAGGTGAGCTTCATTTTTTGACTAACATCCAGATCAATTCAGTTAATATTTCAGGATGATGGAACAGTGACATGGTTGCTGAGTTACAACCTCACCGGTTTGGCTCCGCTGTCATCGTACTACTTCCGCCTACGCTCGAAAAATAAGAAAGTGAGAGAAACCTTTAATTACATCTGCATGTCTACCGAATAACCACCTCTACGAGTTTTTTAAGGGATTTTCCGACTTCTCGCAGCTAATTATCGCTACAACTAACGATGTCAATGAGGATCCGAATATGCCTGCTCCTACTGCCTTGCGATTTGATAGCATGCGGAAGTCGGTCACGGTCGAGGTAAGAAAGAATTTTAGCCTTGTGTTCACGCAAAGATGGAATGCCGATAAAGGAAGAAAAACGCGTAACAACATCGCTATATTGAATGCGGGACGTTTTGTCATATTACTCATTATCTCATAAAAGAAAGATTTTGAGCTCAAACTTACATTTAAGGGAAGGATATTGGTGATTGAGGACGAGATGTATACCACTAAACGCGTCTTCAAACGCTGACTGCAGCTATCCTTTTTTGCGGAACATCTCTTCATGAATTTTGAATGTCCAAATTTGTCAAAGTTTGAGTGTCACAAAATTAGCGAGAAGCTCTACAAAAAAGCTATGCGGATTTCCGCTGGCTGCATTCCTTTCTCGTACAATATACTCAGTTAACGATTGATTAGGTACTTTCAGGTGTTTTTGCAGAGCATTTCACTAATTTGGACATTTAAACGCATAAGTTCTTTCGGAAAGTTACTACACAAAAAGTAGGAACGCCTGTGGATTACCTTTTGACTTTGGTGCTAGTGTTAGGATGCATAAACTATCACGGACAGAAAATAATGACTTTGCAGTTAAAGTTAAGGCGATGTTGCTTAGAAATTTCGTGACTAAAATCTGAGCATTTATAGTACGCTGTTATACGAGAGGTCTGCTATGGACAGAATTTTGCCATTTCCAAATTGCTTATATTTCATATAGTTGCATATATCTACTCATGCTGGAACTAGCGAGCGTTTGCAGATCACTTGAAGATTCGATTTTTTGTGTGAAATTGATCAATTTGGCTTCAAAAATTGTCGCAAATTACATTTAGACGAAATATTTGGTGACCATCCTATAGAGCTTGTTCTGCTTGTCGAATGATGCCTACATGCCCTTTTCTGTGTTCTCCGGCCTGAATAACGACTCTGAAAGAAGCTTGTTTTTATCTTTGATTAATAAACTGTTAATCAATCATGGGAAATGCCAAAACTTTCGAAGTAGTCATACACACCGCTAATAACATACCGTTTACAGCCTCGAGCACCTCCCGATGACTGCACATTGCTGTACGTGTCTTCTGGCGATAGTTGGCGTTCAGCAGGATGCATCGGACCTGATCAGGAGATAACTGACGTACCCGGAGGTGTTCAACTGCGCGCTCGATTTTGTTCACGTGAACATGCGCTTCGCTGCTCGAAGCTGTCATCAATTCTTGGTAGGCTTTTTGAGGGGTCCTATAATTATATTTTATGGGTTTCTTTGCAGAGACAAGTGCCATGGGCAGTCCGTGGAGATTGGCGTTGATAATTCCGATAACAGTTCTGACCTTGCTCGTCGTTCTCATCTGCGTGCTGATGGTTCTCTGTTGCCGCACGCGAAACTCTGCAAAGAACTTGAAGAAGGGGTGAATTAACTGCTGCTAGTTTTTCTAACCCAGATGCCCTTATCGCACTTTCTGCTACTCTCGCTTAGTCACTATGCACCTTTTGCAGCAAACCTCTGGAGGCTCCTGTCATGCCGCAATCCGAGACGAAGAATACGGTAGTGCACGGCTCACAGGCCGACAGCGGAGTGTTCACTTTGGAGTCGAACAAGCTAAAGTCTTCGCTTCCTGTGCACAACTATTCGAGGTGATTACATACGCTCACGAAACACTTGTTTCGAATTTCATGCTGATTCAACATCGTTCACTTCTAGCGACGAAAACGAGACGATTATGGAGAATTGGCCAAATGACCAACGTGACTTCTCGAATAGACCCTACAACAGTGATTCTACTAATCATGACCAGGGTATGGAATTCTATTTCCATAATCAAGTTATTAATTCAGTCTGACAGCAATTTGTGCTGTGTCTAAGTTCTTTGGAGCGTAGAATCACTTTTTGAAGATTGAATTCCATATCGACCTCTCTATGCATTGGTTAATTTCACTTTTTATCTCCAAACAATCTTTACCTGAAACTACCTGCGTCGTCTCGTGCCTTGTGAGCAACGATAAGGGTCTTCAATTTGTTGATGAAATGACCTTTACACTGATAGCTCAAAGTTGTACTCTGAAGATTTGAAGTGTATATAATAGCGAAAAACAACAGTTTATAAGGTTTTGTGCAGAAATTGTAAGACTAGTCACTTTTTCGCAATAGAATGTCTTTCTTACATGCTTCTTTAGTAGTTTTTAATCCTTCGCTTAGCTGAAAGATATAGTTTCGTTTCATCATACAAGTACGAGATTCTATAGAAATTTGAGTAGCTGTCTGTAAGTAAAATCTGTGTGGCGGAGTAATTTAATGGTTTGCATACAGGGTCTGACTGCTTGGAATTACTATGAAATTTGTGCTCCCCATTTTTTGATTTGTGACTCCAAATATGAGAATTTTCACATTTGTGAATGGAAGTCGAATTATCTGGAACACTTCAAAACGTTCAATTGATTATCGAAGGACCATCGAAAGCTCAAGAGGTGCACATTTACGACGTCGATAACCTTTTTCAAACCATCATTTTCCGGAAATTTTGGGGATAGATTCAATTTCAATTCTGCCATATCGCCAGAGTAATTTTTCATAGAGCAATTGCATCTCTCCCCCCCCCCCCCCCTCAAATTTGTCGTGTAAGAGGAATCATACCGGTTTGAACGCTTTTAAGACCATGAAAATCAATCGAAACATGCGTTGGCATGTCATTTTCAGTTTTTTATGCGAATGAAAAGTATCTCAAGACAGTTCAAGAGGATGTTCTCGGTAATTCTTCGTCAGGTGCATGATATTTCTGTCAAGTTCAAAGGCGCAATTCTCGGTTGTCGCAGTCGTTGTCAGGTGGACACCAAAAGCGTCTGATTTTTTGACCTTCTACAAGTATTGCTTCTAAAGAGCTATATCAGCTAGATGTGGGCTTTGAAATTAACTCAGTTTAATTTATAATAATATATTAATAATACATGATTACATGAGATTATATGTATAATAATCTTTCAGTCTTAGAATGATTGAAAAATATATTTTTGAGTTCCATAGAAATGTAACTACAATTTGTTGTTTCTCGGTTTCCCACTAAACGCGTCGAACCCAACAAGTCTAATGTTTTTGTAGCCTCTATAGCACAGAATTGCACTTTTTTGGTGACAGCCGAAGGAAAGATCCGCCTTTTGACTGTCATCTTCTAGGATCACAGCGCTACTGACAATGAGATCCTTCCCGCGATTTTCGTCGTCGCGCGATGTGGTGGTTTGCTGGATGCTTCATACCTAGTGAACTTCAAATGCGTGGTGTTTATAGTCCCCTGTTGATGAATTGTCCCTTCTACGAGTTGAAAATGCGTTACAAAGACTTATAAGCATTTGTAGCAGTGTCGCATTGCTTGGCGGCTGCATTTGCACGCGTTATGCCTAAGGCCTAATGACGATTCGCAAAAAAAACCAGATGCAAAGAACCTCTACTAATTTAGTTACTTAAGGTGCGATGCGCAATCATGCGGACGGCGACAGTGTGTCAGGAGCAGAAGATGAGAGCGGGCGTCGGGTAATACGGGAGATAATCGTATAAGCGGAACGGCAGGCCGCGCTCTCGTATCGACTTCTCCGCTCGCGGTGACGCGGCGACGGCGATGGCGCGTCGCTCCGCGCGACTTCCGCCGCTTCCCCACTTCTTCGACGAGCTTCGTTAGTGCTGTACACTCTGAAGCAGTGTCAATACGTGCTCAATGCGGGTTCTGCGCTTCTGTCTGTCTTGGTTCTAGTCTCAGCGGCTCGCGCTCACTTTTCCTTCTTCCACCATTTTATCTCTCGAGCTGAATATTTTGTGCAGTATATTGTGTGTGTATTCTTATGTCCCTTAACGCTCAACGTTCTCTCGGGTGGTTTTGCTTCGAATTATCTCACTTTCCCCTTCCCCCATCACAGCCAGCTTTATTTGTCTGGCAATCTTGTGAAGCAAAGCTTCACACTATGATATTGCGCCACCATTAGCCTCTAAATATTCCCCACTATTTTGAAAATAGTTCTTAGACTGCTATTACTCGTTGATCTCAGAGTTACATCGCCTTTCTTTGAACGAGATTATCAACACTGTCAAAATCTAATTGTTTATGAGTGCCTTCTCAATCTGCAGTCGTTGCAGGACTCGATTTTTCTATGGTTACTCTTTACATTTGGAACATGCATTTGCAATATGAACTCATAATGATTGTAGTTTTATGCAATCAAGATTATTGTGCATAATAGGTGTGATTGTATGTATGTGCGAATTCTCACAATGTGAATATATTATTTCTAGTGCTTTTTGTGTCATTCCAAATTCACGGTGAAAATAGTAGGAGTTTGAACTGGCTTGCTTCTTACATATGTAAAAAAAATCAATGCAAGTTCTTGAACTATGGCACTGATGCAGGACAAGAACTATTTATATCTACAAGCTGCAAAATCCGTGCTGTAGTATTCATTTGTATAAAAGTGATTTTCTGCCAGTGGTTGCCTGAAACTTCAAAACTATGAGCAAAATTTTTGATGCAGTGACCATTTGCATGTTAGGTTGGCCGATGAATTTTGCTAAGAAATGTAGAAAAATCTTTGAAAAAAAAAACGCTTCTCTCCATATAAAACGCTTTATGCATAATGATTTTCCTACTGCAGTCTACACAGAGTATTTATTAGGAATAGAATCCTTAGGATGAAATACTCGAAGGTAACTTAGTCGCGTCCAACCCCAAATTCATGCATGAAATTCCAAATCGAGAAAGTGAAAATCATTATCAGAATCAAAATCAGATTTTATTAGATAGTTTAGCATTTCTAGGAACCGAAATTCGAATTATACAATCTAAGTGTTTTTTTAACATGTTGCATTATCGTCGTGATACAACGCTGGCTTTGCCTTAAACACTGATAGACAGGTATATACAGGGTGTCCCAAAGGTAAGTACACACTTTTCAATCGTCAATATCTCTCTTCCCAATGGGTCTTTTTCTACCATTCAAGCATCATTCTGTAGAGGAGGCTTCAACTTAGATTTACAGTATCGAGCGAATCACCGATCGCTTTTCGTTACTGTAGGACTACGGTAAGAACTTTCAGCATGTGGAACTTTTGTGAAATATGCCATCTAACAAAAAATTTTCAAAAAATCTGAAAAATCGTCTTACTAGGGTTTGCGCGCACGCTGATTCCACTATACAACTTTTCACAATTTTTTTCAGCTTTTTTGACGGTAAAATCACACTTCTGACAAATACTGAAAATTCAGTTATAACGGTTTACCTGAGATAACTTTGGAAATAAGCATCACAGTAAAATAGGACTCTATATTCGAAATCAGCGGCTTCCATTACCTTAGTATAAGAGTTTTTGGGTTGTTTGGTTTTGTTTCGGGGCAGAATATGGCTTTCAATGGCCTAAAATCCTTGTCGAAGCTCCTACAGAAATCCTACAGTAACGAAGAGCGATCGGCGACTCGCTTGATACTGCAAATCTAAGTTGAAGCCTCCTCTACAGAATAGTATTTGATTGGCGGAAAAAGATACAATGGGAAGAAAGATATTAACGATTAAAAAGTGTGTACTTACTTTTGGGACACCCTGTATAATATTTTCTCTGTTATCTACACCGCAGCAAACGAATTTATCGAAACAAAAGGGATTTTACGATATGGTGGGAGCCTTATGTGCAAATATATACTTCTTATATTCCTAACTCTAGCGCTTTTCCATTACTGCGACTCCCGAATGTGTCAACTGCATTATGCATGTATGCTGTTATCGTGTATGTATACATAGTAGAGTAGATGCATTTAGCACAGCAAACAAGCCGGCTGTGAACGCAAAATTCTAAAGATTATGTATGTGAGAGAAGTATTGCACTATTTAGTCGTTGTTAACTCTCTTTCAGCGTATCTGGAGGACCTTTGAGTGTCATTTTATGTACCTGAATTCAAACTCAGTTTTATAGCATAAAACGAATCATTGATCCCTCTCCGTTACTAAAATGAATCATGTTTGCCATGATGAATCAGCCAATTGACAGTTTTTTCAAGAACGAGTTCCGCTGTAAGGTTCATGAACACGCCGACTTTCAAAATAAGCAGTTCAAAATAAATGTACGGTTTCTGAATGTTTTTGGATAGTTCAATCAAGTTCCTGAAAAGCACCGATGAACAATTACAGTACACCTATCGTTACCATTAAACGCGTCATTACGAGAGATGGCAAATTTCGTATCCAATCAGGTTCACTTGGTGACGAAGTATTAGGCTGATGCAAAATTAATGTCTGTAGCTTAGGCTATTGAAGCACATGAAAATAGAATTTGGGAATGTTGTACCATTCGATAGAACGAAGCAAGCTCTACAAAGTGGCTAGCAAGAATCTATCTACACATTAGTTCTGTAAATTGATGCAAAAATCTGCGAACATTTGGCCAGCTCGAAAATCGGATCTTCTCCAGGAGAAACAAGTATCCCATAGTTGGTCATCACATAATAGACACATAGTAACGTTCATTTATGCACTTGCTGTAATCTTTTTCTTACTTAGAATTTAGGAAAAAACGGAGATCTAAAATCGGCAACTCCGCTCCTAACTCCGCCCCTTTCCCCCATTTGCTTGTTGTGTACCACAAAGCCTCCGAAGCATGACTGTGAAATTTCAGCCCGTTATCTGCATTGATATTTGAGAAAAGTCAATTTTAGCTTTGAGAATTAGTCTACGGCCATTATTTTTGCATCAACCCAGTATTTACATTGGAGACTCTTAAGTAAGTCAAAATACATCTTGGTGACATTTAAATTCTCTTCAAAGTTTACCTCACAGTCTCAGATTAACGAGGGCTTCATGATTCGTTCCAGACGATGCATAATTTTAAGTTGAGACTAGGTATACAGATTCGTAGCCGCGGTCTAAGAAATACGGGTCTAAGAAATACGTTGGGTTGAGAGGTTTATGGAAGATTAGATGGTTTGTATATACTACAATTCCTGGACCACTAAAGTTAACGCCATCGTTGCGGCAAGAGTGAGTGAAGCAGGTAATTTTTTTGTGAGGTAGAATCGAGAAGTTCTTGAAGTATGAGTACTAAATATGTATGTATGTATCGATAATTAATCTAACTAATTGCAATTCAACATTAATAAGCTGTCTAAAAGTACAATTCCTTTGGCAGCTTTTCAATAGGTGAAATTAGTCTGGAAAGGCCGAAATGTTCTCGATATTGTCCTTTTTAGTAATCATAAAAGGCGATTAAGGGCAAGTCATTCAAGCGATGAGCAAAAGGTTCGTTCTCCAGAATATAGACATGCGCATTTATTTACGTCAAGAAAACATCTTGTTTTAGCTATAAATTCAAACGCAAACAGAGTGACGCAAAACTAATGTATGCACAATGGTTTAAGTGAAATAAATTCCTGGGAACTTGTCATTTTTGGTCCGTTAGAATTATTCGTGACTCATGTAGCAGCTCATTATCTATTGAATGTGATGATATACAGTCGAATCATTTCATATGATCATGTGTGTCATTGCACATACAGTCCACCTTTGGCGTCCTCTCTCAGATTTGCAATCCCAAAAACGCAAGGGACTTACCGATTGTTATCGATTACATCAATTTGAGATGGTAAGTAACTAAAATAGAAAGAAAATGCTAAGAACATCTTGAAAAGACTTATCTGAAGGGTTATTTCTCCCACAAATCCAGAATGAGAACGCCAAAGGTGGACTGTGTGTGCAGTGACACCCATGATCATATGAAATGATTCGACTGTAGCTGACATGAGTAGATAAATATAAAAAAGGAGAATTTGAAACGGCAACTTCTATAAATCATTTTCAACCGTGTAACCTAATGTGTGGGAGAATATGTCAGACGTGCACTAATAGATAGAAATAAAAACCAAGGAAAAGCTTTTAAAGCGGCAACTTCTACAAGTCACTTTCAATTTGTGTAACTTAACGTGTAGGAGAACATGTCGGACGTGCACTATGTATAGCCGAGAAATGATTCCCTAAAAAATCTCCAGAATTGGAGTATATAAATAAAATCGCAGTTTACAAGTCTTATTCACTGGACTACAGCCTTTCCATGTCGAGAATTTCAGTTTTTTTTTGTATCAAAGACAAAACCAAGTTTGCGCTGTCTAATTCTAAAGTGCTGCGATCCGTCACAGTGCTGGGAAGTACTAACAAGATTGCTTTATGTGCAAATTTTATACTGAGCTGAGCCTTGAATCTGGCTGTGAGCTCCAAAAATTGCGAAGAGAGCGCACTCGGTGCATTACGTAGGTTGCTGACTATGTAAAGGAATCTTCAACTCTGTTGTGCCGTACAGGTTTGTTATGGTGGCAGATTTATTGGTACTGGCCTAACGTTTCGGTGGTCTGGTATTACGGATGATGCCTTGAGTCGTTTTCAGGCCTCTGAGGACGACGAAAGCGTCGAAACGTTAGGCCAGTACCCAATAAATCTGCCACTATAACAAACCTGTACGGCACAACAGAGTTGAAGATTATAAGCAATGCCCAGGTTTAAAGAAAACGGAACATGGAAATTATGTAAAGGAAGTTTTCGGATTTTCTCAATTTTTAGATAGGAAAACCTAGTTGAATAATCTGTTTCGAAATTTGTAACAACTTAAATAAAAATTGACGGGATACTTTGAATATCTTTGAATACGCGCAAAAAAAGCTTGTATGGGGCGTTATAAAGAAGGAATATTATACGTGAACAAGAAGCACGAAAGTCGTGCATGGACCTGGTATCTACGAGCCTAATAAGTGATACACTGACAGGCACATACTGCGATCACTGCACATATTTTCCAAAGACTTTCGATTTTGTGGAACGATAAAAGTGAGTTGGTCACTAGAAACCTCTTTATTCTACATATTTCTATGTCGACATGGGGTTTGCCAAGAAATTCTTCGAATCTATTGCCAACATACGAATATGACATGAACGAAGATGACAGAAGTTCCAAAGCACCAATCTTCGCGCAATCCATCACACTCACTTGCGAATCGAATGGTTTTTTGTGGAAAAGGTTGACTTTTGTGAAAGAAGTGCGCTGAAGAATTTGCACAGTCTAGGCTGACTAGTCGTTCATAGACTGTGTGATTTATTGGAAAAACTTGGGATCGCTTTTTCAGGCTCAATGAGGGTTGTGTAATGAAAAATAAAATGGCTTGGAATCAAGAAGAATAAGAAAAAAGAAAATAAGGAACCTTTCAATACGTATTGTGCTGGGGTAGCTGAGCAAGAAGGCAAAACTTTGTAAAATAATTCATTACCTAGAGATTCGCATTGGCATCACGTGCAAAACGCACTTGATGTGCGGACTT